CATGCGGATGGCAAATATTCAAGATTGTGGGGCAAGGGCAATAACTCTGCTTCTAACGGTCGAAAATAGCTCAAATTCGAACTTGATCTTCGTTTTATGAATATATATACACATACCGAAAATCTAGTTTTAAGAGCGATTACAAGCAAATGTTGACGGACGGACGGACAGGGGTGCCGACAATATACGTCCACATAGAGATATGTTGTTGAACTCTGGAAGAAAGGATTTAATCAAAATTCCAGTTTTTATGAAGCTAACACACACTTTCCCTTTAACTTTACGAGTAGCCTGCTTTACCATTGTTAAAGTGAATGACGCCATATGTTAAGAGTTCGTTAATGGAATGGAATTAGACACGATCGTGTAAGATATCGAATGAGAACCACGTGAAGAATGCGGCCAAGGTCATAAAGAAACAGCTGATTTTCTTATCTAATTCCTGCAAACAATCATAATCTAATAATCAAGTAAATGTTTCGCAAACTTGTTTTAAGAGGAAAGCTGAAAATGGTGTGAAATGAAAGGCAACCTTTCCGTCTTTTTTTCTACACTTGTCTTGATTGAGTTAACGTGTTTGTATGTTATCAAAGAAATTTGCCAGGTCGCGCCATTGACCTTCTCGTTTTTTAGTTAGAGATATAGAACATGTGCAACCTATGGTCTCTTGCTCGAGGAGTGAAATGAAATGTAATAAATAAACAACAGTCCCGTAGCCAGCCAGACTTGATTGTTCGCCCTGTCAAGTAATATCAAAAGAGGCAATGGTGTATGGTGTTTAATTGAAGTAATGGAATTGGTCGATAGTCAGATATTTTTTCAGGAGGGCAATACATTTTTTGGGGAGAGGAAGGGACATTTTGTCTACGTACTGTGTGCTATTTCCGTGTAAGAACCCTTCATACAGCAAAATAGTGTAACAATACAGCGACTGACGTCATCGAATGAAATATAATCCATACAGTGGCAGATAATTCGCTCTCAGATTACCTATACCCTCGCATTGACATTTCAGGTGATACAATAAACAGAAGCCATGTGCTATAGAGGTAAATATAACCAGACCAGGCACATGGGGTCGAAAATTTATGAGCTAATGCCCTGCCCTGGCAAAATTTTCCTCATTTCACAATGCACGGTGTGGCCTTTCTTAATTAGCCGAAATTAGAACAGGCAATTTGGACATTAACTCCCATTTCGTTTCATTTAATAATATAAATGGTGATTATTTTCAAATTGAGGTTTATCTGTTAGCATAGTACTTGAATACAGGATGTCGATTTCATCTTATGGCATGTTTATTTTATTAAAGGTGGTATGCCACATAGTTTTATTGTCTGGAAAAGGAATCCGCTCCTTCACCTGGTAAGGGGAGCCGCGGTGGCTCAGTGAGTTAGACGTTTGCTCGCTAACCCGAAGGTCCAGGGTTCAATCCCGGCATAGGTCGAGATAATACCTTCGGATTTTTCAACCCGGTTTCCCCCTGTCAGTGATGCAGGTAAGAGGGACTGACATGCGTCTAGTCGTTCGGATGGGACAATAAACCGAGATCCCGTGTGCTACAGGCTGTGCACGTTAAAGATCCCTCGAAAAAGAGCAGGCTAATGCCGCTGTCCTGGCAAAATATCCCTCACTGCACCCTGCATGGCGTTGCCCGTCTTCATTAGCCCACATGGTGCAGAAAAGTAGGACGTAAAACTCCATTCATTTCATTTCACCTGGTAAGCTTGAGCGATGTCCCTATCGGTTGAACTTTTTGATTGAATGGTAAATCAACCAAATTCCCCCTTTTTATTGTGAAAAGTGGTACGGTCATGAATATAATATCACACAATCACAATCTTACACCGATAAATTACAGAACACAATTTTATGATATACTACTTCCTTAGGTTTATTGTACACAACGTTTCAACAATTTACATTGTCATGGTGAATTAATTATTGCTATTGTCTATTATTTATGTAAACTTATACCTTATTGTATTATACTCCCTCATTCCACTTAATGATGACGATGTAAATTGTTGAAACGTTGTGTGCAATAGAACTAAGGAGTAGTATACCATAAAGTTGTGCTCTGTTATTTAATGTGATCTCTACACCTAAATGTCGCTAAAGGATTAATCTTATATCATATCCCTTTAAGATATTAAGTTCCCGAAGCAGTCGATTCATAATAATCATACAATTTTAATGCAGAGCAAACTGGAAACAACCGGTTTCAACTGTTTCATTCGTTACGTTTGAAATTTACTGCACTTTAAGCATATCACCTGCACGAGTACATGGCTCGAAGGGGAAATACACACAATTTCATCAGGTCGTTAGACGGAAATAACAACATTAAAATACAGAAACGAGAGAACAAAAAACAAATGGACAATACATTCAATGTCATTCAGAAGTAGTTTAAAGCAATATAGTCCTTTACCAGCTTATAGAGCTCAGTTTAAGCTACCATAGTTTTCTTAATGTTTACTAGACCAGTTGATAGAGCTTAATTTAAGCTATATGTATAGTTGTCTTGATATTTACTTTACTAGCTCATAGAGCTCAATTTTAGCTATCTGCATAGTTGTCTTAATATTTACTATACCAGCTGATAGAGCTCAATAACAGCTATATGTATAGTTGTCTTGATATTTACTTTACTAGCTGATAGAACTCAATTTTAGCTATGTGCATAGTTGTCTTAATATTTACTAGACCAGCTGATAGAGCTCAATTTTAGCTTTCTATATAGTTATCTTAATGTTTACTAGACCAGCTGATAAAGCTCAATTTTAGCTATCTGCATAATTGTCTTAATATTTACTAGACCAGCTGATAGAGCTCAATTTTAGCTATCTGTATGGTTGTCTTAATATTTACCATACCAACTGACAAAGCTCAATATTCTCTTAATATTTACTAGACCAGCTGATAAAGCTCAATTTTAGCTATCTGCATAATTGTCTTAATATTTACTAGACCAGCTGATAAAGCTCAATTTTAGCTTTCTGTATAGTTGTTTTAATATTTACTTGGTTAACCTTAACGCACAGGACCAAAAAAAATATTTTAATGATCGCAAGCAATGCTCCTTTAAAGAGGGCCCATTGAAACCGTATTTTTATGACATAATGTTTCATTGTTCATTTTGAAACTGCAGTAGCCTTGTTTAAAGTCGTCAATTTTCTTCATACTGATAACTTTGACATTGTTAGCCTTTAGCATTTGCATAACAACTTGTACACCCTTTTGATGTCAATAGATATGACTTTTATTGCAGGTTTTTGCTTTTAACAAAATCCTGGTTTGGTTTAATATACATTTTCAAGTAATTTAATTTACAATATAAAAAAAATTGCATTCCTTCAATATTTCAACTGTAATGGTATAGGTAATTAACATAGATACAATTTAAAATTACATGTATTTGCATTTCTACTGTACGAGGGGCTGACATGGAAAAAGCGTCTAGTCGTTCGGATGGGACAATAAACCGAGGCCCTGTGTGCTACAGACTGTGCACGTTAAAGATCCAACGACAGTTGGAAATCGAAAAACAACAGGCTAATGCCGCTGTCCTGGCAAAATTTCCCTCATTGCACCCTGCAAGGCGTTGCCCGTCTTCATTAGCCCACATGGTGCAGAAAAGTAGGACGTAAAACTCCATTCATTTCATTTCATTTTTACATTTCTACTATCACTCCCTTCAATAAGCCAGTGATGCAAACTGGCGTTTATTTTTCGTTAAACTCTAGTTTGTCATGTGACATAATAATGATATGCTATGAAGCGGAATACATACTGTGAATACACGACAGCTTGCAATGTACATTAATGTAAAACAGTTTTCTTAATGTTATATGTGTATCGGATACACTGAAAGCATCACACTAATTGTCTGCAATTCCACAATAAATAAGCGTTTGATGACATTAGTAATCACTAAATATCACAAAAGGCCCTTCATGATTGGTCGGTCATCAAAAATTTTGTTTTAGTTACATAGTAAGAACCACGGATGAAATGCAAATTGATACTATCAATGTCCCCGATAAACATATAATTTTTAGAAGACCTCTTTACAATCCCTTTAAATCTAAAGTTTTGACGGATATTGATATATATATTATAAGTTTAACATCTGTTAATATGTCTATAAAACTTGGAAAATAAAGTTCTTAAAGTGATACTATACGTCTTAGAATGAACATAAAATTTAATTCTCAAGAATGGTCAATATGAGTATATATTCATCAGTGAACTTACCTGGTGTTATAAAGTTACAACAGAATCCCTGTAAAATCTAGAAAATTGGAAAATTCATAAAACTAAGTAATGATTGAAAAACGCTTAATCATAATATTAAGCGTTTTTCAATAGGTTATTGCATATTTATTAAGTTTTTTGGACTTATCGGATTATATAAGGATCCTGTTATGTTATTTATGACACCAGGTATATCTACTGATGAATATATACTCTTATTGGCCAAGTTTAACATTTTTAAATTTTATGTTTATTCTAAGACGTAGTATCCCTGTAACAATAGGCCTACGATTAATAAATCATATAGTGCACCATCTAATTTATTAATAGTAGGCCTATTGTGATATATATAATGATATTAAGGCGTAAAACACTATTTTGGTTATTGAAGGTAATGTTTAACATTTTGATCAGAATAATGGTCAAAATGGTTTGTTTACATTTATGCGGAAGTGACTTAGCGCACGCGCATTGAAAAGGGTAATAAGGGCTATTGGTTGTATAATCCAGTGACGTCATATATGACGTAAGGATTATTTCATGTCTGCGCAAAATCAGTACTCGACGGTTCACTCTATCTGGTATAGAGGAACTATGGCATGAGTAGTTGAGTGACCTCTCTTATGTGACGAATCGATTTACACACGCTGGTCTGAAATCTTGAGATATATCATCACAATATTAGTGATAGAATGTTGGCCTACGATATACTGAACTGTATTTCATAAATATATGGACTAATGTATAAACACTAGGACCTCGGATGGTGGTATATACTTATATATATATATCTGATTTGAAATATGGAAGAATATTCGGAAGAGTGCCAAGAGAAGAGGAATAAAAATATTGATGGTGGATACGCTTGGGTAGTGCTAGCCGGTAAGACATTATACTAATTTTTTGAGGTTTACAGAGCGTTACGACCTGTCATTCCAACCTGGCGGGGAAAGATGACTCGTTAATTACAGGGTACATACATTTGATCGATTGTTTTTCCTTCTATCAATATTATTATTTTTCGCCTCCTGATTTCAAAAACTATGCTCGCATTTTAAAGACACCGGTAAAAAATAACTTGTTTGCACGGAAATGTGACTATTTTATAGTACCTCTAAACAAAGGGGTTATATAGCATGTGTTATGAGAAAGAAATTCTCATTGCAGGACAGATGGTTTAGTTTCCAATATAAATCAAATACAGGCGTTAAAATGAGATGAATGGAGTTCTACCTCTTATTTTTCTACACCTGAATGGGTTGATGAAGTCATGTAGTGTGCGATGAGGGAAATTTTGCAAGGACATGAGTTCCTCTCTTTCGATTTCCAACTGTCGAGGGATCTTTAAAGTCCCGTTCTAACGATTAGACGCTTCTTCATGTCAGCCCCTCCGACCTACATCACTGACAAGGGTCGTGATTGAACCTTGGACCTTCAGGTTAGCCAGTAAGCGTCTGAATCACTAAGCCATCGCGGCACTCCAAATACTGTAGTTATAAGGAGCATGGTGAACATTGCCTTTAAGGCAGGACATGCTGGTCTTTCCAGAATATTTGGTGCCGCGCCGCTCAATCGGTAGGCGGTGTTATGTTTCATTTGGTACATCGGTATATCAACTAGCTATTCATTCAAAATTCAAACAGCTGATAATGTTTTTGTGGTATTTTGGTTATGAAATAGATAACACTTTTGTAATAGTCCTAATAGCCAACGATCTTAATTAACTAATAATAGATACTGGGTATACAAAGGTTGATCTGATTGTCTTCATACCTTGGTATTTTGGCAGTGGCTCAACAACCACATAGACTGGTTGAACCAAGTCCAAGGCACCAAACACTAAGGGAGCCCTCATCTCAGAAAATATTCTGCAGGAGAGCATAATGTTTACAAAAATTCCCATGCGAGGATCCACACTCATTTAGTTGAGCTACAGTATTTGGGTCATGGGTATGTCAACTCAATATCTTGAGAGAGACTACATAATCAATGATATTATTTTGTTATTTATTTTATTGACAACGACATGTAGGGTTATCATTCGTACGCCTCCTCTGGCCTTATCTCAACCTTTGCTATCCAAAGTTTTTGGTTGTTATCTATCTAACCTACAAGTCGGCTTCTATTTTCCGATCTGGCTATACTACCCTTTTTTATAGGATAACAAAACAATTTGAAATTTTTAAACTTGGCAAAAATGAGTCTTGTTCAGCAGTGGACTTACCTGGTGTCAAAACTAAAGGATAGAATACCCCTATAATCCAATAGAGCCAAGTTTGAAACATGCTCAGAAGCGTTTTTCAATAATTACTTAGTTTGATCAATATATCATCGTATATAGAGATTCTATTCTTTAGTCATGGCACCTGGTAAGTATAATTCTAAAACGTAGTATATATTTTCCAAGTTTTCTGGCATCTACATACATCACGCTATGCATATAGGCCCTATGTCGGTAATAATTGTGACCAAATTACCAAATTAGTATGGATAAATAACCTCTGTGTTTGTGTTAAAGTTAGTTTTTGAACAGGTTACCTTATAACCAATTTATCGTGTTACCAAATAATTTCTTGACCAAATTACTGTGACCAGGTTACCAAATTATTTTGTGACCAAAGGTGAATAAAATTATCTTGTTAGTGCTTCTTACTTGTGACTCAGGTTATTTTTGATCAGGTTACCCTATAATCAATTTACCGTGTTACCAAATAATTTCGTGACCAAATTACTGTGACCAGGTAAACAAATTATTTTGTGACCAAAGGTGAATAAAATTACCTTTTTAGTGCTTCTTACCCAGGTTATTTTTGATCAGGTTACCCTATAATCAATTTACAGTATAACAAAATTACCTTATGACCTAGTTGGAAATTTAAATGTAAACACTTTAGAAGGGCAAATTCTTGACCGATTTGGACGAAACTAAGTACGTAACCCTTTTAAAAAATAAAAAAAAATTAATATGGCTACGCTCGTACTTGACCTTGTTCAGCAAACCGCGTTAATTTTTTTTATTTTTTACTTATTTTATCAATCGAAGATCATAATGGCGTAAATAAAAACATACAAAGACTAGAAAGTCAGAATAGTGTTAGCTATCGAAAGCACTAGCCGTGTCATCAGAGTTTTTTCTCCTACCCTACTTGCTATTCTGACCCTAGGCACTAAGTCACCTAGCAGACAACAATCCAACATGCCAAAGACAGCGATAAAAGGGTGCGAGGCGGCAACCGAAAGTAACCAAAGTTTGCCTTACCTTGATAGAGATTCGAACCCACATTTAATTGCCTCACAGACAAGATCAAAAAAGATAATTCCAACTCATCAAGATTTAAAATGTATGAGAAAATAGCAACATTGTTTTTGAATTGTGAATAATGTGCATAACATAAGACACCTTTTCAATTTAACAAGGTTGTTGTAATTATTCAAGAAGAAAGGAAACCCATATCATGATCACAAGGTTTATAACTTTAATAGAGTCAAACCAACTACACAAGCATACAATATTTCTTGAACATATCAAATAATGCATAACACATGTCATCTTGACAATGTCAAGCTATCACGAACTTGAAAGCGATTCTCCGGATAGAAAATCGTATTGAGGTCAATACAAGCTTAGAGTCCCCATACATATAAAAGGGTAGTCAATCATAATAGTGTAAATGGCTATGAGTGTCCTTGATACACATACAGAGTCTAGAAAATCAGAATGGTGTAAATAGAAGCTGTAAGTGTCTCTGATACACATACAAAGACTAGAAAATCAGAATCTCTGATACACATATAAAGACTAGAAATTCAGAATGGTGTAAATAGAAGCTATAAGTATCCCTGATACACATATAAAGATTGCACATACCAAGATAAGAAATTATTAGAAATAACCCCTTGAATGAATTAAAAGCATATCAAACACACCTGGGTAGTTAGTTAACAGTAAACTATATAGCTTGAAAATATTATTGCTGCACAATAATCAATAAGTCAAAACGACCTAATGTTACTTCTAATACAAAATATCGAGTTAGTATAGTATTAAAGGATTTATTTCGAATAATCTAGACCTTGAATTTGCAGATTATAAAAATAGAAAGCTTGCCTGCCAAGGTAACTACCAGTTCTCAGAAATGATAACAAAATCTTTGGTGGCTTAATAATGAATTTTCAAATTTTTAACCAAGCAAAACCTGGTCAAATTATCTTCAAATTCAAACATGAACAATGTCTCATCGCTGTACACACAAGGGCAATAAAACTGAAACTGTTCATCCGGTTATTACCAATCTGATATCTCATCAATATATACGTGCATATTTAGTTTTAAGAATGGATAAAAAATGTAGTTTCAAAACGAATTTAAAGCGTTTTACAAACTCAAGGGCAATAACTCCGAAACCCTTCACCTGATCGTTAGCAATTACGAACTCGGCGGAGATCTCATCAATATATATATACATGCATACCTAGTTTCATGTAGGTCGGATAAAAACCGTACTCTCTATCGTACCTTCAATCGAAATTTGCTGCGTTTTTACTTAGTCAAGGGCAACAACTTTGAAACTGTTCGTCCGATTATTATTAATTTCGAACTTGACTGATATCTCATCAATATATACATGCATACCAAGTTTCATCAAGATTGAATACTGAAAAACTGTATTGTCTATCTCTCTCAAGGCAAATTTGACGAGTTTTACTAAGTCAAGGGCAATAACTCTGAAACAGTTCGTCCGATTATTACCAATTTCGAACTGGAATCTTATCAATATACACATGCATACCAAGTTTCATCAAGATCGGATAAAAAAAAAACTATAGCCTCTATTGCGCCTACAAGAAATGTGAACGGATGGACGGACAGCGGAGACGGGCGTATAAAAAGGCTATTTGACAATATAAGCTGGAAGCTGAATAATGCCTTCTGATGTTTCTACCTGATTTCCTCCGACAGTGGTACTGGTTGAATTTCTTCCCTTTTCTGGCTTTTCTGCTCCCTTTCTAGCTTTTCTGGATCAAGAGATATGATCAACACAATACCCTCGTTGAGATAGGAAGCTGTGTACGTAAACGATACTCGACAATTTCAAATGAAAAATATTTTCTACACCGGTTTTGTTCTTGGCAGTGATGTAGCCTGCAACAGAATGTACATACTAAAGGTTCATTGACAGCTGAAAAGTGTAAAAGATTAGTGACTCTTACGTCACAATTTGCTCTATTGGATTCTACATGGCGCTGTTAGTCTCCCGTAGCAACAATCCCGTTTATATTATATTTCCAAAATACCTTTAACATTATAAAATATTTTATGTTCTCTTTGCAGCTACGTTTGTGGCCAACATGTTCCAAATGGCATATTTCCGAGCGTTTGGTCTGTTGTTTGTGAAATTTCTGGACGAGTTTGGTGCTCCCGTGTCCTACACTTCGACGGTGATGGGTGTGTCCGAAGCCATGTACAGTATCTCTAGTAAGTCTGGGTACAGAAAATTGGAAAAAAGAAAAAATTAAAGAATTTTCAGTATGAATTAGAGATTTTTCCCTCTGGAAAATATGTTTCTAAACTGTAAAATGGTAGGTGATAACCAAAAATATTTCTTTGTTGGTTGTTTAAATGTTGTAGTTAACGGGATATCGTCGTCTCTATATTTCGGCTATCTGTATACTTTACTTAACTAGCTGATAGAGTCCAATTTCAGATGTATGTACAGTAGTCTAAATATTTACTTTACTAAAGGATAGAGCTCAATTTCAACTGTTTGTATACTTTACTTTACTTAACTAGCTGATAGAGTCAAATTTCAGATGTATGTATAGTTGTTAAATATTTACTTAACCAGCCGATAGAGTCCAATTTCAGATGTATGTACAGTAGTCTAAATATTTACTTTACTAGCGGATAGAGCTCAATTTCAACTGTTTGTATACTTTACTTTACTAGCTGATAGAGTCATATTTCAGCTGTCTGTATAACCAGCCAATAGTTTCAGATGTATGTGAAGGAAGTAAATATTTACTTAACCAGCTGATTTGAGTAATATTTCAGCTTTCTGTAAAGTAGTCTAATTTTTACTGAACTAGTTGATAGAGCCCACTTTCTGATGTTTATAGCTGTCTAAATGTTTACATCACCAGCTGATCGGGCTTTCCATTGTTTTGCAGAACATAAAACTCCATTCATTTCATTTCATTTTCTATTGCTACATGTTGGCTTTAATGGTACATGGTATTGTTCCTATAGGTTAACATGATTTATTTTCTATTTATTCGTTGTTTCATTGCAGCATGAATGGTCCAAAATAAGAAGATTTCAAAATATGGTTGTCGTTACTGATAAATAGTTTAGTATACATGTATATATGAACTTCAGAGGTTAATTCATATAGCTTAATATTACAAAATAATATATTCCTTCGGATTACACCAATGACTTATTTCTTACAAAGTTTTAATAACAGAGAACTTCTATTTTTTCAGATCTTAAAGTGATACTACGTCTTAGAATGAACATAGAATTAAAGTCAATATGGTCAATATGAGTATATATTCATCAGTGAACTTACCTGGTGACATAAAGTTACAACAGAATCCCTGTAAAATCTAGAAAATTGGAAAATTCATAAAACTAAGTAATTATTGAAAAACGCTTAATCTTGATATTAGGCAGTTTTCAATGGTTAATTGCATTTTTATTAAGTTTTTTGGATTTATCGGATTATATAAGGGTCCTGTTATGTTATTTATGACACTAGGTATATCTACTCATGAATATATGCTATTAATGGCCACGTTTAAAATTTTTGAATTTTATGTTCATTCTAAGACGTAGTATCACTTTAAATACCCATTTCTCATGGATTCATAGCAGCTCCTATGGTGAAAAAAAGGGCTTATTTTTGATTGGGACTTTTTTTTGTTTTTCACTGCAGCTTTA